CATCATCCATCCGCTATCCCAGATCATCTGACAATCCACCGTACTCTGCCTGTCACCATCTGACCATCCACCACCCGTCCACTATCTATCATCGACAGACCATCAGCAATTCGTCACTGTCATATTCAGACCATCCACCGTCTGTCATTTTCAGGCCACCCAACATTCATTCACTATCTGTCATCATTGGACCATCCATCATTCGCCCACTGTCAGTCATCATTAGACCACCCACCATCCGTCCAAATACCTGTCCCCATCAACCATCCGTCTGTCTGTCATAAATCAGACCACCCACCATCCGAACACTATCTGTCATCATCCGACCACCCTTCGTCAATCCGCTATTTGTCATCATCCGACCACCCTTCGTCCATCCGCTATCTGTCATCATGCGACCACCCTCCGTCCATTTGCTATCTGTCATAATCAGACCATCTACCATCATCCTTCCACTCTCTGTCATCATCCGACCACCCTTCATCCATCCGCTATTTGTCATCATCCGACCACCCTTCAACTATCCGCTATCTGTCATCATCCAACCACCCTTCATCAATCCGCTATCTGTCATCATCCGACCACCCTTCGTCTATCCGCTATCTGTCATAATCAGAAGATCTACAATCCATCCACTCTCTGTCATCATCCCACCATTTTTCGTCCATCCGCTATCTGTCATCATCCGGTCACCCTTCGTCCATCCGATATCTATCATAATCAGACCATCCATCCACTCTCTGTCATCAGCCAGCCATCCTTCATCCATCCGCTATATGTCATCATCCGACCACCCTTCGTCCATATGCTATCTGTCATCATCGGAACACCCTTCGACCATCCGCTATCTGTCATCATTCGACCACCCTTCGTCTATCCGCTATCTGTCATCATCCGACCACCCTTCGTCTATCCGCTATCTGTCATAATCAGAAGATCTACAATCCATCCACTCTCTGTCATCATCCCACCATTTTTCGTCCATCCGCTATCTGTCATCATCCGGTCACCCTTCGTCCATCCGATATCTATCATAATCAGACCATCCATCCACTCTCTGTCATCAGCCAGCCATTCTTCATCCATCCGCTATATGTCATCATCCGACCACCCTTCGTCCATATGCTATCTGTCATCATCGGAACACCCTTCGACCATCCGCTATCTGTCATCATCCGACCACCCTTCGTCCATCCGCTATCTGTCATCATCCGACCACCCTTCGTTCATCCACTATCTGTCATCATCCGACCACCCTTCGTCCATCCGCTATCTGTCATCATACGACCACCCTTCGTCCATCCGCTATCTGTCATCATACGACCACCCTTCGTCCATCCGCTATTTGTCATCATACGACCACCCTTCGTCCATCCGCTATCTGTCATCATGCGACCACCCTTCGTCCATCCGCTATCTGTCATCATGCGACCACCCTTCGTCCATCCGCTATCTGTCATCATCCGACCACCCTTCGTCCATCCGCTATCTGTCATCATGCGACCGACCACTTCGTCCATCCGCTATTCTGTCATCATGCGACCACCCTTCGTCCATCCGCTATCTGTCATCATGCGACCACCCTTCGTCCATCCGCTATCTGTCATCATCCGACCACCCTTCGTCCATCCGCTATCTGTCATCATCCGACCACCCTTCGTCCATCCGCTATCTGTCATCATGCGACCACCCTTCGTCCATCCGCTATCTGTCATCATCCGACCACCCTTCGTCCACCCGCTATCTGTCATCATCCGACCACCCTTCGTCCATCCGCTATCTGTCATCATCCGACCACCCTTCGTCCATCCGCTATCTGTCATCATCTGACCACCCTTCGTCCATCCGCTGTCATCATCCGACCACCCTTCGTCCACCCGCTATCTGTCATCATCCGACCACCCTTCGTCCATCCGCTATTTGTCATCATCAGTCAGTCTGGTATTCAAAATCCATCTATATTGGTCCACCTCTATCCAACCAGCAATACACCCATCATGGGTCCACTATATCAGGCCACCTGTTTCACCTGAGTGGCCCAGTGGATGTAAGAGGGACAACGACCATGCAGAGCTGTACGAGATATATGAGACCATGGGTGTGACATTTAGTTTGCTTCCCCGATCCGCAAGACCCCCTTCCACTTGTATCACATCACTGCAGGCTGACTCGGAAATGGAAAGCAGTGTTAATTCATAAACTCAACTCACTCACCCACAGCCGTATACTCCACATCCCCCGTGGAATAATACCTCCCGTTACCCCCAGCTCCTTCGACCCGTTGGCTTTAATCAAGGCACAAATCAACACGCTTTTACCCCATCCGTGTAAAAGTACCATGTATTAAATACCGACCTCGTAAAATTCAATGTGCAACCCTCCCCTACCCTTCATTCTTCATTCGTGTATGAAATCAACACCCCTTATCAATCGTCCAATACATTATGTGTCCATCTGCCATCCTTTAACGCATTCTTCATCCATGCATCAACTCCAATCTTAATCAACCATAACCACAGCCCGGCCGATAATAATCAAACTATTGATCTTCATCAAACACGTCCGTCATAGATTCTTAAGTTATTTGTCAACCATAATCTGTATCCGCACCTATATATACCCACCTAATTTAACACATTTTTATTTTATGAGAAAGAGTACACAAGTCCCTAAACTTCCCAAGTCAATTTAGCACTACAAACCTTTTTAATCGTAGAATATATGTTGTCTTATTATCGCTAAATATCAGTACAATTGCCAATGGCTGAAGGGATGGTATACATCCAGCAGGTAGCCAAAGTACTGGAAGTCCCAATGGTCCCTAGAGTGGTGGTCTGCCTTCAGTTGTTAGCGATCATCATCCCTTTGTAGATTGTATTGTCCTAATTTGAAATCCTATTTTAGAGATATATGCTAGTTTTAGTTTTATTACTGTGATATACTAATTGGATTTACTGTCCTTCGGCGACATGTTTTTAAAATCTGCGCATTTATCATGAATATATAACTATTGTAAGTCACGATATGGCTGAAATACTTCCGCTGTGACTATAAAGCTTAACCTCCCACACTCCCTCTATCCCGTCCCTCTGCCTGTCGCTGCAGCATTGACACCATATAAACATAGCAATCCATCCATCTTATCATCTAGTTCCATCAGCCAGATAACACCGGCACCGTGCACTGCGTTGCCCGACGAGGCATCGACTGGGAAAGTCACATGTTAGGCCAGTCATTCAGCTCGCTGGTGGACACGAACGGAGTGTATGAACCGTTGGGTGTAACAAAACCTTGGATCAGGTTGACCACCGCGGATCAGTGTGGATCACTTACCGTTATATATGGCCCGCGTATGTGTGTTCACTTCTTTAATGTGCTGAGGACGTGGAAGGCGACAGGAGCTTGTTCTGGGAATCCACGTTCTTTGGAAATAATTCGAGGAGCCACATGCGACTTTCTGCTGAGTGTGGGGAATTATGATACCGATTACGTTTGCTCGTATATATCTCACGTGGATATTTTAGGGGTAGTATAATTATTATATGTACATCTCATATCTAAATGTCTCAAGTCAACGTTCAGGTGAAACATAATTATGAATAATTGCTGAAATAACTATTACCGGTATGAATAACATATCTAAACATTTTTTACAGACTCAATGTTAAAATAGCTTATAAAGAATGCCCTTTAAAGTGTTTAACAGATTTTTGTTAGAATATGCCGACTTACATACCTGTAAATATAGCAAGTACATAAAACATGTGCCAGTTGTCATAAATATCAGGCATTGACCTCATTCAAAGTCAAACATGCTGATCAATAATTAAAGTGTTCATGAACACGTATGTTGTGGCATAGCCAAATTTATGTTAGATGTTCCGAGCGCTCAGTGAGCCATCCACTTTGCATAATTCTCGAAGAACAATCAATATATTCCCCTCGACCGTTGACTGCCGGCACCACATGGGTCTGAAGGAGTACATTCCTGGTTGAGGAATCAGGGTCAGGCCTGGTATTCCTGGCACCAGATGGTATGGTGATGTCAGTCTAATTCTGACTGGAGTCGTGCACGGCAGATCGGTTATTAATTAATTACCGCTTCTACTTGGTGAAGTCTGATTACTAGATTGTTGAAATGAATTACACGCCAAGTGAACGCATGGCATTTGTATGATGTGTGATTTAACACCTTGTTGAAGGTTTTTGCCATTTTTATGGCACTTGCTTGGAAATATGGGTCTGTTGAAAATATAAAGAATGTATTAATTAATAATGATGTAATCAAGGTTTCAAGTTTAAATATACTAACATAACTTAACACAATTCAATATTTTACGTCAAACTTTAAAATCATATTATATGACCGTTGAAACTGAATAAACTTTTATAGTTGTGAGCATATTTTGTACACATTGACGATCTGAACAGAAAAATATCCAAACTTGTGCAGTTCAGTATTCTCTACTCCCCGCTACGTTTAACAAGCTCCATTTTTATGACACGGCCTGGGTGGAGGTGAAGGCATTGCCTTGTCCAGTTGTTTGTCCACTGCACATTCAGGACCTATGTCCAATAGGTTCACAGATGTCAAGCAACCGCTGTCCATAGGAATCGATACACAAGAAGTCAGGGAGTGATAGCGCCGGCAAGCCGCAGCCCAGTGTATATGTCATTCAGCGTTTACTGTTATTCGTCAACGTCTGGTTGGAAGGAATCATCTCAACCACACACTGGCCAACAGTTTTATATGTGCTATTTACAATGAACATCAAACATCAAACCTATATGACGAATTCCAAGTCTTCAAGTTCCACGACAATATATACTGTCAATCATCCACGTCACTTGATCGCCATATAACTGCCTATGGGAATGTGGTTCGCGGGATGAATGAAGCATTGAAGTGCGGTTTATATGTATAAATATTACGGGGTGTATGTTTTGTGTGACCAGGTCCAGTATGCTAACTGTACTCATACTTTACCACTATCTGGCAGAGGTTTACCAGAAGGTCAAGAACGGCGTCAAACCATTCTTCCGCCCGACTCTGGAGGACTACGACTGTCCGTGTGACGAGCTTGCTGACGTCATCAGACGCTGCTGGGCAGACGATCCAATGGAAAGGCCGGATTTCCAAGCCCTGAAGAGCATCATTCGAAAACTTAACAAGTAAGTTGATGGTGTTGTGTTTTGCTGTGGTATTTAAGACCAGGTGGCCTGGTTTTCTGAGGTGTAGAATCTCACTAGGCTGTTGTACATTTCCCGAAATCCGTTAATCGTAACGAGCGATCGTTCAAACATTTGTTTTTCCCTGGCTGTTCTTCATGTTGCCTGTGCCCGTAAACTATGAGCTTGGTTTGTCACCTAGATTATGATGACATATCTCAAATGACTGAACTGTGTACAGATTGGCAACACCAACGTTAGCTTATACCAGAATTAGTTCTTAGTGCCATATACAACCATCTCGCTTCTAACGCTCGGTCTATGTGTCCGTTGTTGTCACGTAAACGTTCCACTTCATTGTGTTATCTTGTTAAGGCATGCTTGTAGCTTTAAGTGGTGATATGACAAGACTGTACATACTGATTTTTCGAGAAAGCAGTAGGTCATTGTAGGCCTGTCCTACCTTTGTGATTCTAGCCAGAGAATGTATCCCTTATAACCGACGTCAGGGGGACCACTTTGTTCGGTGGCCATGCACCTTGTTAGATGACACCTGTCCTTCATGGTAATATGCAACTTTATTACCTACAAGGGCGAAAATATCGGGGTTCATATTTTCCATACGATCCCCTAGGGCAAAATATCACTTTGTCAGGGTGTCGTGACGTCATGAACAATACTATGACGTCACGTTTAAACTGTGACGTTGCGTTCTACATGCGGCGACTGTAGGTAGCCAGTCTATGTTTGAAAGTAGTTTTGGGTTAATTTTCCTCAATTTGACGACTTCGGTAATAAACAGAAAAACATGATCGTGCCCATATCATACTATGTTTACGACACTCGTGCCTACATATCGGTATATCCCCTCGCTCTCGCTCGGGAAATACCAACATTTAGGCACTCGTGTCGTAAACATAGTATGACATGGGAACTTATATAATATCCTCTATTTATTACATGCCCGTGGAAGATACTGCAGTGTGATATTTTTACAGCACTATTACACTAGTGTATTACTGCTAGACATATCACGTCATAATGGTTACAGTTATGACGTCACAATGCAAATGACTCTGTCGCAATGGTATTAGACATTGCTTGACTCGCGGAAAACTGAAATGAGAGTCATCACACTGTAGGCAGTTTCTATCAATTTATGTTGGAGAGTAATAAACAGAATACTAAGCTGGCTTCCGTGAAACACCATTTGTATTATAAATTAATAAAATTGGTATTGCACGGAAGGTCGTTTAAAAGCTTCTATGCAGCTAACCTCTCCGCTTAGAATCAAATCATGAGTGATAGTGTAATGTATGGTTTACGCAGCTTTTAGCAGCATTCAAGCAATATCACGGCAGGAGACACCAGAAATGGGCTTCACATATCGTACCCTTGTGGGGAATCGAACTTGGGCCCTCGGCGTGACGAACGAACGCTTTAACCTCTAGGCTACCCCACCACCCAAAATAAATTTAGAGGAAACATAACGATGGTTATTGGTTAGTGTGTTTGATCAGTTGATTTTGTTTCGATTTGGATCTGACATTTTGTTAACTTCATTCTATTCCAGACCTAAACGTCGCTATTATGCAATGAAGAAGTTGATCATCCATAAAGACTTGTCATTCCTATTATTGCAGCTTCTAGAAGGCCTCTCAAACAGTTCACATCCTATCTGGGTATTGGAAATAAACACATTCTATCTTGGTATTGAAATCGGGATATTCTGGCTAGATATTGAAATTGACATCGTTTATATAACTCACAGGGACGCCTTTTCGATGATAAAGATAGTTGTTTACAAACCGTGTGGATCAGGAAGTCTTCCACATTTCGGCGTCCCTATCAAACCATGAGTTTCTATCAAAGTAACTGTTTGAAAATAATGTTTCCAGACACACCAGATAAAACATTTATTATTTTAGTAAATATATAATAACGCTCTCTGGAAATAAAGACATAAATCTGTCTACATGAAATTGCACTATTAGATGCCATTTTGTCGCCACAAGTACCGAAAAACTGTCATTACCTCGCCCTTATATTGACTGTCGTCTACCCAGTAATCACTGGCTCCTAATATTGCGTCACATTATTGCCATTTTATTACAAAGCTATATCAATTCATCTGAGATTGTCAGCGAGATGAATATGCCCTTATTCAACTGCATTACCCACCGGAAGGAAGGGACAATATAACTCAGTTCCCTCCGTCAATACTCCCTGTAAATCAGAACACTGGCAAAGGCGTATTGCTTATTACGCTGTGTTAATGAGAGTTAGGGCAGCTCATATTGGTTTGTGGGTGGTTCATAGTGAAGGGTTCCAGTGTTGGGCAGCAGCCCGACGCAAGACGTTATGAGATGGTATCAGTCCAAAATTGTCAATGAGAGTTGTGCGCGTATTGGGGTTGAATGCACCAATGTGAGAGCGTCCCTCTTACAATGTAATGGCCTTATCGGCACCACAAGGACTTCAAACGAATGCATTTGCATGTATTCAGATCTGCAAACTGACAACTCGACCCTTCAGTGTCTAGTGATGGATGTCATAAAGCAATACGTATCAATACGTATTTGATCCTTATTCAGGGATGTCCAGCTGACATGTTCTGATTGCATTTTTTACTTTTTGCAAACATTTTTCTTCCAAATAACGCCCCACCCCTGAATAAGTGAGTATGGTTTTATACCGCCTTTAGCAATGTTCCAGCAGTATTACGACGAAGGACATCAGATTGTATATGTGGAATCGAACCGGATCTTCGTAGTGACAATCGAACGTTGCAACCACCTGGCCTCGCTCCATCCCTGAATGACATCCCGACTCCAGCTCTTCATCCATTCCCACATCTACCTCTACCCTTGATTGTCTCTCTAGGTCTGTGCGCACCACAGTCGCTGATCTGCCTGATTCAGTTCACAATGCACTCTGTTGCAGCTGAAACATTGCTGAAGTGACCGACATTCAATCACTCTAGCTGTTGCAGATACCCCAAGCGTCTCAGCCGCACGGCTGTCTTAAACCCGTCGACAATGGCTTTTAGACAGACTTACTCTATTCGTGTCGCTAAAATCACTTGATGAACTGTACCCTTGTGAATGCTTATTCTATATTTAGATCTAAATCTGCTTTCAGAATCACAATGACATAATCTTTGTAGATTACTTCAACTTTCCTAAAAAAGTAAACTTTCCCTTGTTGTCGGGCAATGTTCCTGCAGATTTTAGTGGTTACTTTTCAAAACTTTTGAGTCTGCCCTTTCCATTGAAGACGTTGGTACAGCGTGCGAAACATTTAATGACAAAAAGGTGGAATGCAGTTTTAATTTTTTTGCACATAGATGACAGAAATGATGACCAATACATATCCCTATTTTCACGGTGCTTTTTCATACGAGTTGACTTCCATGTGACAGGTGCCCCAGTGAAGAAGGATAGGTAGGCGAAGCGTCATCACTCAAACTGCTTGATAACGATTCAATACCACATGCCTGTCATACATTCGGAATCGTACAGCGGTCTTTGATTGCATGAGATATCCCGACAATTGAAATGTTTGTTTTTTTTCTTTAAGAATACCATGTTTCTAATACTTAGTCGTTGATTTGCAATTAATTTTTAGTTTGATTCTGTTGTTTTCAAGTTTGAAACAAACCATTTTGCTACTGTTCTCTAGAGCGAAAATTCATGTTTCCCAATTTTATTTGCATTTGCCACCTGTAACAACAAAATGACACTGTGTGAGTGAGTGAGTTTAGTTTTACGCCTAGTGTGCCATACAGACCTTGAAACAAATATATCCAAGCAAGAACGTCCATGCAAGTGTAGAATATGTGTCAAATCTAGTCAAAAGTCCAGCTATATGGTGGCGGTCTGTAAATAATCGAATCCGGACCAGAAAACCCAGTGATTGACAACATAAGCATCGATCTACTTAACTGGGATACGATGGCATGTATCAACCAAGTCAGCGAGCCTGACTTTCCGATCCCGTTAGTCGCCTCTTACGACAAACATGGGTTACTGAAGACCAATTCTAACCTGGAACTTCACGGGAGAAAGTTTTTTGTACAGCTGTTGCCAGTGCATGTACGTGAGCTATAAGCATGGAAGCATGGCTACTGCTCGTCTGTACAATATTACCTCGGCGGTGTCAGTACGTAAATCCAATAACATTTGTGTATTGAAACAGTTTCGCTAAAGGCGGATTGCAACTTGTTCAGTTCACAGAGAAATCAGGAAACAGGGACATCCTGAATTTTCAATCAGGAGAAACACAGACAATTAAATCAGCCTAAATTCCTCTGTTCTACACCAATGCCATAGTTATACCCACTGGCTAGACATGTAATACCAGACTCTCGATCATCAAAAAGGATTTGTACCATTTGTTTTGCTTATTTGATCCGCGATTGCAGAATAGATCATGGAAGCAGAACGCCGTCATCAAGGGCGCGGCGACTGCGGGGATATTCGCGTTCGTCTTAAACATCAGGATCGATGTAAATATAATCAGGAAGCTGAAAATGGGTTGATCGATTGCAGGTATTGAACGGTGACAGTTAATCAGAGAGGGCACCTGCCCAGCAGAACGGCAAGTCAGACTGTGAAGTTTGTTTCTAGAGACTCACTGAATGTGTAGTGCAGTGGAGATTAAATGGATTAAATATAATCGACTTCAGAGACATGGAAACTACTAATCATGATTGGCTGGCAATGTAAGTAATATGTTGTTAGCTAATTATTGTAATTACTTCAATTTTGAGCAAAGGAAGCAGTGTTTTATTTGCATGTATTAAATGAACTCTTTTATGCGATTTTAGAATTTTCCGACATTTGCCTGTGTCGCCATTTCATCAAAAATGTATGTGTAGAAGCATTCCACTTGTATATCACGCAAATTGAAGCTTTAAGTCTCACAATAAAGAGGGCATGGATTTTAGTTTGTATATATATTTTGCCATATAGTTTCAAATTATCTTCCTCACATATTGACATCTCTAATTTGAGCGGTTTGAAGTGGCGTAAAACAAAAGTCAATCAAGTTGTTTTATGAAACAGGACAATATGGCCGCAGTGTATCTAGGTGATTACTTTAAGGATCTACTGTTACTCTTTCTCGTCTGTTGTACCATCGAGGAGTACGCTGTTGTTATCCGGGTGCCTTATCTACCCATCTTCTAGTTCCCATATTATTTTCTATTAGGTATGTACCATTAATCTAGTTATAATGTTTTTATAGTGTCTCGTAAGCCCATGTATGGCTGGACGCACTTCCTTGAAAATGCTTTAATGTTGAATGTTAATGTTAATTTTGTGCGTGTGACACTTTAATAGACAATTTACTACTACTACTACTACTACTACTACTACTACTACTACTACTACTACTACTACTACTACCACGCGCATGCGCAAGTAAGGCAGTGTCCGCTTCACAGTGACTTCCGTCCTCCTAAGTATAGCTTTCCAAAAGACAGATTCCCTGTCGACATATCAGTAGCCTGCTTAACGTCTTCGGACAATTGATGTATATTGATGTATATTTAGTCTTGTTAACCCTGCATACTGTTATCAACACGTGATCCTGTGATCCCACCAATGACAGTGTAGATTGATGTAACGGGTAATTATATCCCTGTAACATTATGATTACAATGTGTCATAGGTGGAGTCTGTAAGTAGAGTCTCCGTGCTGGTGATACGCATTCGCCGTGGAGTGCGTTAATATTCAACAATTGAAACTGTGATGCTAATAACATGTCGTCATTGTAACAAAGATGCAATTCCAGAGCAATATTTGGCGAATCATGCCTACTGACGGGAAGATGTTGCCTTCAGATTGCCGGGATAGTGTTCATGACTGGTGCCATAGGGGACAGGATACGCACACGTTTTGGGTTACACCCGGTGTCATCAAAGTTTTGATGGTGATTCACAAACGCTTATCTATGAAAAAGACTAAACCGTACAATCGATTTCTTCTTGATGTGGAAAGGGTTTTGTCGATTATGTTTGAAAGCACCAGGGTCTCACAACACGGAAAACGCCTTCCATCTGCGTACACCCCTGAATGAGTGAGTATGGTTTTATGCCGCCTTTAGCAATGTTCCAGCAGCATTACGACGAAGGACATCAGATTGTATATGTGGAATCGAACCGGATCTTCGTAGTGACAAGCGAACGTTGCAACCACCTAGCCTCGCTCCATCCCTGAATGACATCCCGACTCCAGCTCTTCATCCATCCCCACGTCTACCTCTACCTTTGATTGTCTCTCTAGGTCTGTGCGCACTACAGTCTCTGATCTGCCTGATTCAGTTCACAATGCACTCTGTTGCAGCTGAAACATTGCTGAAGTGACCGACATTCAATCACTCTAGCTGTTGCAGATACCCCAAGCGTCTCAGCCGCACGGCTGTCTTAATGGCTTTTAGACAGACTTACTCTATTCGTGTCGCTAAAATCACTTGATGAACTGTACCCTTGTGAATGCTTATTCTATATTTAGATCTCAATCTGCTTTCAGAATCACAATGACATAATCTTTGTAGATTACTTCAACTTTCCTAAAAAAGTAAACTTTCCCTTGTTGTCGGGCAATGTTCCTGCAGATTTTAGTGGTTACTTTTCAAAACTTTTGAGTCTGCCCTTTCCATTGAAGACGTTGGTACAGCGTGCGAAACATTTAATGACAAAAAGGTGGAATGCAGTTTTACATTTTTTGCACATAGATGACAGAAATGATGACCAATACATATCCCTATTTTCACGGTGCTTTTCCATACGAGATGACTTCCATGTGACAGGTGCCCCAGTGAAGGAGGATAGGTAGGCGTAGCGTCATCACTCAATCTGCTTGATAACGATTCAATACCACATGCCTGTCATACATTCTGAATCGTACAATTGAAATGTTGGGTTTTTTTCTTTAAGAATACCATGTTTCAAATACTTAGTCGTTGATTTGCAATTAATTTTTAGTTTGATTCGGTTGTTTTCAAGTTTGAAACCAACCATTTTGCTACCGTTCTCTAGAGCGAAAATTAATGTTTCCCAATTTTATTTGCATTTGCCACCTGTAACAACAAAATGACACTGTGTGAGTGAGTGAGTTTAGTTTTACGCCTAGTGTGCCATACAGACCCTGAAACAAATATATCCAAGAACGTCCATGCAAGTGTAGAATATGTGTCAAATCTAGCAATATTCCAGCTATATGGCGGCGGTCTGCAAATAATCGAATACGGAACAGAAAATCCAGTGATTAACAACATGAGCATCGATCTACTTAACTGGGATACGATGACATGTACCAACCAAGTCAGCGAGCCTAACTACCCGATCCCATTAGTCGCCTCTTACGACAAACATGGGTTACTGAAGACCAATTCTAACCTGGAACTTCACGGGAGAAGGTTTTTTGTACAGCTGTTGCCAGTGCATGTACGTGAGCTATAAGCATGGAAGCATGGCTACTGCTCGTCTGTACAATATTACCTCGGCGGTGTCAGTAGGTAAATCCAATAACATTTGTGTATTGGAACAGTTTCGCTAAAGGCGGATTGCAACTTGTTCCGTTCACAGAGAAATCAGGAAACAGGGACATCCTGAATTTTCAATCAGGAGAAACACAGACAATTAAATCAGCCTAAATTCCTCTGTTCTACACCAATGCCATAGATATACCCACTGGCTAGACATGTAATACCAGACTCTCGATCATCAAAATGGATTTGTACCATTTGTTGTGCTTATTTGATCCGCGATTGCAGAATAGATCATGGAAGCAGAACGCCGGCATCAAGGGCGCGGCGACTGCGGGGATATTCGCGTTCGTCTTAAACATCAGGATCGATGTAAATATAATCAGGAAGCTGAAAATGGGTTGATCGATTGCAGGTATTGAACGGTGACAGTTAATCAGAGAGGGCACCTGCCCAGCAGAACGGCAAGTCAGACTATGAAGTTTGTTTCTAGAGACTCTAGAGACTCACTGAATGTGTAGTGCAGTGGAGATTAAATGGATTAAATATAATCGACTTCAGAGACATGGAAACTACTAATCATGATTGGCTGGCAATGTAAGTAATATGTTGTTAGCTAATTATTGTGACTACTTCAAAGGAAGCAGTGTTTTATTTGCGTGTATTAAATGAACTCTTTTATAAGATTTTAGAATTTAACGACATTTGCCTGTGTCGCCATTTCGTCAAAAATGTATGTGTAGAAGCATTCCACTTGTATATCACGCAAATTGAAGCTTTAAGTCTCACAATAATGAGGGCATGGATTTTAGTTTGTATATATATTTTGCCATATAGTTTTAAATTACCTTCCTCACATATTGACATCTCTAATTTGAGCGGTTTGAAGTGGCGTAAAACAAAAGTCAATCAAGTTGTTTTATGAAACAGGACAATATGGCCGCAGTGTATCTAGGTGATTACTTTAAGGATCTACTGTTACTCTTTTTCTTTCTCTTCTGTTCTTTCATCGAGGAGTATGCTGTTGTAATCGGGGTGTCTTATCTACCCATCTTCTAGTTCCCATATTATATTCTATTATGTATGTACCATTAATCTAGCTGTAATGTTTTTATAGTGTCTCGTAAGCCCATGTATGGCTGGACGCACTTCCTTGAAAATGCTTTAATGTTGAATGTTAATGTTAATTTTGTGCGTGTGACACTTTAATAGACAATTTACTACTACTACTACTACTACTACTACAACTACTACTACTACTACTACTACTACTACTACTACTACTACTACCACGCGCATGCGCAAGTAAGGCAGTGTCCGCATCACAGTGACTTCCGTCCTCCTAAGTATGGCTTTCCAAAAGACAGATTCCCTGTCGACATATCAGTAGCCTGCTTAACGTCTTCGGACAATTGATGTATATTTAGTCTTGTTAACCCTGCATACTGTTATCAACACGTGATCCTGTGATCCCACCAATGACAGTGTAGATTGATGTAACGGGTAATTATATCCCTGTAACATTATGGTTACAATGTGTCATAGGTGGAGTCTGTAATTGAGTCTCCATGCTGGTGATATGCATTCGCCGTGGAGTGCGTTAAGATTCAACAATTTAAACTGTGATGCTAATAACATGTCGTCATTGTAACAAAGATGCAATTCCAGAGCAATATTTGGCGAATCATGCTTACTGACGGGAAGATGTTGCCTTCAGGTTGCCGGGATAGTGTTAATGACTGGTGCCATAGGGGACAGGATACGCCCACGTTTTGGGTTACACCCGGTGTCATCAAAGTTTTGATGGTGATTCACAAACGCTTATCTATGAAAAAGACTAAACCGTACAATCGATTTCTTCTTGATGTGGAAAGGGTTTTGTCGATTATGTTTGAAAGCACCAGGGTCTCACAACACGGAAAACGCCTTCCATCTGCGTAAATTCTTACTTTCCTTCCACAATTAAATGTGGCTACATGATAGAAACTAAATAACGTTTCACTCTCTACATGACGAACATAGCTTTGTAATCACGAACTTGATATGTGTTTAGTTTCACGCAATCAACAAGTGGCACGCTTGACATTGTCCTATCTCATTTGCAACATTCGGAGTAAGTGACTTTGGAGTATTAAGACTGTCAAACTGATCTGGCCAGTTCGTATGTACACTGTTTCCATTGGTTACAGGGATGGAGACAAGGGCAACATCCTTGACAACCTGCTGTCCCGGATGGAGCAGTACGCCAACAACTTGGAGGCCCTGGTAGCGGAGAGGACGTCTGACTACCTGGAGGAGAAGCGGAAGGCGGAGGATCTACTGTACTCCATGCTGCCGAAGTGAGTAGACACCCGGTGTTCCACGTCGTCCACTTTGCGTTTTGTTTTTAATCCCTATGCTTATGCAGTCTTAGTACACGAGGTCATCATTATCTTTACAGTTCACCGACTTACCAAAAGAATGTCTCTGTTGATCTTTGGTTTGGTTTGTCTGATTGTCCGCACTCAGCAATATTCCAGCTATATGGCGGCGGTCTGTAAATAAACCAGTCTTGACCACACAATCCAGTGATCAACAGCATGAGTATCAGTCTACACAATTGAGATACGATGACATGTGTCAACCATGTCAGTGAGCCTGACCACCCGATCCCGTTAGTCGCTTCTTACGACAAGCGACGACGACGATCAATTCTAATCTTCGCGGGTTCTGTGTTAGATGCGCTGACTTGGGTGATGCTCAAGCCTGCCCTGGTTGGAATTCATCGTATCCGACGGTGAAGGACGATGCTGATAGTATCAGCCAATTGTTGTATCTGAGATAGCTGACAAATGTTGGTTGTTTGTTCCAAGTTTGTCGATAGAATCTCATCCCTTGGAGACAGGTAATCATTGCGACCCCTGCCCACGTACACGGCGGATAAACCCCGGATGACCTGGTCATCAATCCTGATTGTATACCGATGATCAAACCTGATCAAATCAGTTTCCCCAGCCACACAGACGTGGGGGTGTATCACAGCTGGCTTCTTGTTGTGATGCTGACCTCGTCACGACGTCGCCGACTCTCGGTATAATACAGCCAGTGTTAAAGAGAGGCTGTACCCATCAGCCGAGGACAGTTTGCACGTAGCTGTCCACAATCCACATTGTCAGGAATCAAATGTGTATTATATTTTGGGGGCGTGGTGGGCGTGGTGGGCGTGGTGGGCGAGCTGTCAAAAGTGCCAGGCTAGTGATCCAGCGAGCTGGAGGTGTAGGGATCGAGCCCACCTGTGACTGGGTGTAAAAACCTTGGAGTCAGCTTTGTGTGCAGATTCTTTCAGTGTTGTCACAACCCCTAGTGTTCAGTACACAACCCTGTGCACTTAAAAGAACCCACGAATCCGTTGGTATGTGACCAAATGGTGGCCACATGAATACGTGCAAACACCTAGTTGCAGGTACAGCAACGTGTAGTAAACTCAGATAAAGTACTGTGACTATGTGTCCCAGTCCACACAGCTGTGAATGGGTACCTTGTAAGGATGGAAATGCCGAAATAACTCGCCTAGTGGCTGCAAGAGTTGCATATTCCCCAGGGAGTTGAGATTGATAATACGATGTGCCGTTGCGATTGACATCCAATGATCGACGGAATAAATACTAGCGCCTTGAGCATGCACTAGTTGCGTGGATATGTGCGTTATATAAATATCCTATAATAATAATATTTTCAATATCAAAATGAAACATGACCGCGTTGATACGTGTCACTAAATCCTTAATATATGCCTTCTCCCTGCGGATCTACATGTTCCGATAGTCTTCCATTTTGGATGGGATGCTAAAGAAAGGTGTTATGTTTAAAAGTCTATATGTCAAACTATAGTTTGGTGAAAGAGTCGCCTGACGCATACCGACTCATATACGAAAGATTCGCCTGACGCATACCGACTCAAATACGAATGAGTCGCCTGAAGTATACCGACTCAAATACGTAAGAGTCGCCTGAAGTATACAGCAGATTCATATACGAAAAAGTCGCCTGAAGTATACCGACTCAAATGCAAAAGAATCGCTTGAAGTATACCGACTCAAATACGAAAGAGCCGCCTGAAGTATACCGACTCAAATATGAAAGAACCGCCTGAAGTATACCGACTCAAATACGAAAGAATCGCCTGAAATGAAGTATACCGACTCAAATATGAATATTGATATTATATCTTTATATTCCTGAACTTCCCAAAGAACCCAGTACTGCACATTGAATTGTCAGCGTTAATGTGGGTTATTTGTAAAGCATCGTTGATTCTCGTCATAATGTCAAGACATGAAGGGTCTAGAGTAGCTTCAAATCTGAAGATTAACATATGGAATTTGTTTACTCAACTGCAGTTATATCTTACCCCTAAACAGGTAGGCACTGGCCATGATCACACTTAGTGATCGTACATGGTAACACGGCTCCTGTTGGCTTAGGGAAAGTGATCCAAAATAGGCTGGGCAGTAAATGTAGTTGGAGGACATCAGACATCATTACGTACACTGGCAACGTCTCAATCCTGACAAATCTGTGTGCGCTCTTCCACAAGGAGCCTATTTCGGCTGGCTACACTCAGGCAATTACATATCAGGGACCATGGAGCTCAAGCAGAGGACTAATCCGCTCATTCCTGTCACACAGCAAGATTTGGTCTCACATCAAACTGACAGTTCCAGACTGTAACTGTTTATCTCAACAACAACAGGGACTACAACGTCTCCAGCGAGGCGATGCACAACAGACCCCGCATCCAGTCGATCTCTTACATATACAGTTTAATAGTCTCCAGTTCAAGAGGCTGTTTGGATTTCTTGCTGAGTACTTCGGTGTTCTTCCGCGCGCAGGAATACATGCAGAAACGGTACGCGATACACTTAGTGCGGTTGTTGTGTGAAAACATCACTACCTGAGCATAAAGCGCGTTTATAAAACAGATAGATAGATACGGTGATCAAGGTAAATACCACCAGGGTATTGTCTCCTCAGGGTCGTGATAGGTCATGATGTCTGTAACTGCAACATTGTATACGGTTTTATTTATTCTTCTTCACTCTTTGTTACTGAGTATTTCCCTTTCTCTATAATGTTTTGTCTATGGTCGTCCGCGTTGGCAGCGCGCAGCATGAATTATACCTGATAAAATACAGAAAATAATTATCAATCAGTCAAATGACAGAGTTATTCCGGGAAAAAAAAGAAGAATTGACAGGTGTACAATTATCATAGAATACAATTTCAAAATGTGTTAGAAGAGCATTGGCTGCGAAGTGGGCAACCACGTAAAACAGTATCGAAAGCGGAGCTGATGTTTTGTCGTTGTTGAATTCAACAAGAAACAGACACAATGAAATTTAGCAACAAAATATTACAACACAATTCAATCAGTTTTGTTATCTGGAACTGTTGGGAGACGTTTGCTTGAGAAAGGGTTCAAGCGTCGTGTTGTGAAAATACCCATATCTCCTGTACACCCTGTCACGAAGATTCGGGGCGGTGACGGTAGCCCTGTGGTTGTCTAAAGCGTTCGCTCGTCACGCCTAAGCCCGGGTTTGATTCCCCACATGTGTACAATGTGTGAAGCCCTTTTCTGGTGTATCTTCCCCTTACTCACCTATGCTTAACTTACTTTGAACTTTGGACCGAAGGGGCAACTAAATTTCCTGAATTTCTCGTTAATTATGGATTTAGCTCACCCGCATCATTAATTTTCTTTCGTGAACTATTTGAATCTTTTATCAAATGGAAAGTTATCCATCAATGGCGGATTATCCGCTGTGTCTTCATATCTCTCATGTATTTTCCAACTATTTTCCACAAAATAATGAATTCCCCTCTGAAACATAATCCGTTGGACACGACCCCCGGTGTTCAACATCTCGTGGCACAGATCGAAGTATATCACACCTAGTAACCAGGTAATCAGTTCCTCGTGACAATGCCTGCACATTATCTCATGGTAAAAAATGTAATCTTCCACCACTCCACAAATCACTGTAATTTATCGGATCTATAGCCATTACCTGTGTTACTGATGAAAATGTCAGTTTCACAAGGGCATCCGGGCGTTGTGACGTCATGGCCCTGGTGGTAGTCAGGGGTGAGGTGGAAGTCAATCAGTCACCGATGTCTACAGTAGGAAAACACGTTGGAGGTGGCTGCTGTCGTGTTGAAGCCAACGTGATAGACTCCAGACAAATGAATCTATTGGGTAACACTGTCAAGACTAGTTCTGAATAAAAAAAATCGATATTTGCCATTTAGTTTGCCCTTTAGGGACGTGTTTCTTTCGCCAATACATTCATATTTTGTGGACAAATATTGTGTTGAGAACTGAACACATTCTAAACCATGTGTCAACATATTGTGTACTTAACGTTAACTTGAAATCAGTCATCTTACTAATCGTTAAAGATATACAATCGATGACCCCCCGTGGTCTCAAGATAACGAGATGTGATCGTAATAAAATTCTTACTTCCAGCTCGTTCCTTCTCTTGCGCAAGTATATTTGTGGACAATAGTATACGGAATAATGTCCATCAGGTTCATCCTCTAGCAACAGTGGACACAGGTGTCCAGAACGGCGCTGTACTCTGTGGTCTTATCACTCATGATTATCACTGAAACTGCCCAGGTATAGGACAGTCGTAACGGTAAAGATGTATTGTACAAATGGATCAAGAGACCACAGGCGCCACAATTAGCTGTGCTACCTTGATCAACCAGAATGCGCATCTTTTATTTTTCCAATACCGCTGCAGAACGTCATATGTGATTGTATGCATTGCATTTCTCATATTTCTTCAGGTAAATCCGATAATTGTACCGTTCTGCCTCAGTATGAAACCATTGTCATGCACATGCAGTCTGCCTAGCTGTGCCTGAAAGTTACTAGCCCACAAAATAATTCACAAGCCAAAAATGTGATTGTAGAAACTAAAGCAAAAGATTACAAAAAAGCTGAGAAACAGATATTGTCGGCATGACACGGGTTTCGTAATTAAGCTGCTAATATGGTGAACATTTTTATCAGGCCAGAATCTTGCATGATTTGAAACTGTGTTATAACGTAACAAGCCGGAGAGCGTGATATATTTACCAAAATAATTTAATGACCATATGAAAATTCACTAGCCAGTCGGGCCAGTGACTGTGGAGATTTACTGGCCCGACTAGATTGTTAATAGCCACAGTCAAGCGGGCCAGTGGATATTTCTCACACTGGCGTCATATGTATGCATTATATTTCACATATTTCTTCAGGTAGATCCGATAATTGTACCTTTCTGCCTCAGTATGAAGCCAATGTCATGCACATACATAAGTCTCTCTTGCAGGTCAGTTGCTGGTCAGCTGATTCGCGGCGAGTCGGTGACAGCAGAGGCGTTCGAATGCGTCACTATCTACTTCAGCGACATCGTCGGCTTCACTGCTATGTCAGCGGAGAGCACTCCTATGCAGGTATGTTACGGCGTAAAATCTAACTCTCTCACAATATCATTAATTCACCGTATAAATAGCATGAAGATATCAGCACATGTTCAGTTACCTGATTGAGATGGTTATCACGAAGCTGCTGTGTTGTAAATATAAATACAAGTAAAATATTATATATGTTTCTAAGAGTCGTTGGAATAGCCCAATAGTTACAGCTTTGGAGTCAATCCAGGAACACAGGTTCATTTCACCCACATTGCCGTTAATCACACATTTTCGTATGGATTGATACCTCCTTGTGAGGAGGATGAGTCAAACCAGCCATACTCGGTCATGAGATCTTTCTAATCTGCCAATCAGTATCGAGCTTCATAGATTATTGATGCACGTGGGGATATAAGAGTAGCTTATATGCGAATATCTAATAGCATTCAACTGCCGCGACTTCCCGTCCAGTGATTGTTTATCAGAACGTCAAGATCTGAGAGAGAGTTGTGTTGTGTGGAGTACAAACTTTAACATATTACTCTTGTGTATCCTTTCAGATAGTTGATTTCCTGAATGACCTGTACACGACGTTTGACTCCATCATAGAAAACTTCGACGTGTATAAGGTAGTTATTGCTTCTTCCGTCAATGTTAAATGGGCGACATTAACAAAGTGCACACCAAGTCGGCCATACGTTTGTATAACACATGGCGTCACCTGAAAATCTCATATTTCGATATTTTGTATGTTCTCCTCGAATCCGCTTCATGCATTTTTGTCATAACTGGGACATTAATTTACAACTAACAGTACTATTTTGGGCAACTCGACATGCACTAGAAATTTACCGAAATATTGGTTGTTGCATTGTGTCGTATATCCTGTTCATTGTATGTCTTAACAGAGGTGCTGACCCTAATTTGAGACATTTTACTAGCCTTATTTCCCAAATCATGCATTTACTTTGTATGTTTGGATTTCCTTATATGGTATGGCAATGCCCCATTCTCAGAATATGATGCAGTTCACATTTATGAAATATCGCTCTATAAGAAATATGTTTTGATTTTTCGAAGATATCACGCAACACGTACTGTTACTGTTACCCGGGTTGAAATGTAACGGATATATAGGTAATCCTACCCAAGTGTCTCCTGATATCAATTATATCAACACGAGTTGATAACGTTACACAATTTTACTTTTATCAACGGTACTACCATTAGACTTGCAGTGTAGCGATGTCATAGCAGTGTTACGTCATCAAGTTCATGACGTCATAGCATTGTCAGTGCATTGTACAAAATCTTCTGTCAAAATGATATCCCCTAGGAGATATCGTTTGATCTCACACAAGCAATATATCCAGTGGAACACAGTTTTGGATGACAAAAGCTATGATCAAACTTTGTATCTACGTTCTTGCCATGCTGTCAGATGTTTCTAGTTGTTGTGTTTTCTGTACAGGTGGAGACGATAGGCGACGCCTACATGGTAGTATCGGGTATGCCAGTACCAAACGGAAACCTGCACGCCAGGGAAATCGCCAGAATGTCTCTTGCACTGCTAAATGCTATAAAACACTTCCGTATCCGCCACAGACCCGAGGAGCACCTGAAGCTACGGATAGGCATACATACAGGTACGAAGACGATAGTTTGTGAATTACTCACAGTTATATTTCGACATTAAATCGGTCGGAAACGAACATTTTCGCGCATATCTCAATTTCGTCCACTGTAATATGTGTATGGTCAGAGATGAAAAGTATGTTAACATCTTCAGTTTGCTCCAAATAACGGTGTTCAAGTATCACGTGCCACCCAATCAATGTTTTTCAACGTTGATTCCGTAATAATTTACGTTCGATATAGAAAACTTCGATGTGTACAAGGTAAGTGGTCAAGATTGCATTTCTTCCGTCGATTTTGGGGTCCTGAATTAACTTATTCGCCCATACATATGTATAAATAGAAACGGCAAAACAGTTTGTACATCCATAAGTGAGTGAGTGAGTTAAGTTTTACTCCGCACTCAGCAATATTCCAGCTATATGGCGGCGGTCTGTAAATAATGGAGTCTGGATCAGACAATCCAGTGATCAACAGCATCATCATTGATCTACGCAATTGGGAACCGATGGCATGTGTCAATCAAGTCAGCGAGCCTGACCACCCGATGCCGTTAGTCGCCTCCTTGCTAGTCGCCTTAGTTACTGAATGTTCATTCTAACCCGGACCTTCGAAATTCACGGGTGACATCCATAAGAAATTTCTGTTCAAAGTAGAGTCGAATGTACAAACCAGACTATATCGGTTTAACGCCGCACTCAGCAGTATTACAGCTGTACGATGATGACAAAACAATAGTAATGAATATGAACAAAAACACATAGTTTTACCTGAGATATTGATTTTTTAATACTGACTTTATTCTTTGGAGCGTGAGGCGTTTGGCGTCTGACTTGATTCCGTACAAGTAACTTGTATGTACTTCGACTGTGCGCGCGGCGTTAAGCAACACTGACTTACCCTTTAACACTGGATAACATGTCATTATATGATGTGTTCCAGGTGGTGTATGTGCTGGGGTGGTAGGCCTCAAGATGCCAAGGTACTGTCTGTTTGGAGACACCGTCAACACCACGTCGAGGATGGAGTCGAACGGTCTACGTAAGTCTCAGAAATGATTACTCTCGCAATGTCTAATGGTTTACGTGAGTGTTCAATAGTGTCCACTTACTCACTGTCTAATGGTCAATAGCGTCCACTTACTCACTGTTTAATGGTCGATAGCGTCCACTTACTCACTGTCTAATGGTCAATAGCGTCCACTTACTGTCTAATTATCAATAGCGTCCACTTACTCACTGTCTAATTGTCAATAGCGTCCACTTACTCACTGTCTTTTGGTCAAAAGTAACCACTTACTCACTGTCTAATGGTCAATAGCGTCCACTTGCTCACTGTCTATTGGTCAATAGCATCCACTTACTCACTGTCTAATGGTGAATAACGTCCACTTGCTCACTTTCTAATTGTCAATAGCGTCCACTGAATCACTGTCTAATTGTCAATAGCGTCCACTTACCCACTGTCTAATTATCAATAGCGTCCACTTTCTCACTGCATAATGGTCAATAGCGTCCACTTGCTCACTATCTAATGGTCAATAGCGTCCACTTGCTCACTGTCTAATGGTCAATAGCGTCCACTTGCTCACTGTCTAATTGTCAATAACGTCCACTTACTCACTGTCTAATTGTCAATAGCGGCCACTTACTCACTGTCTAATTATCAATAGCGTCCACTGACTCACTGTCTAATGGTCAATAGCGTCCACTTACTCACTGTCTAATGGTCAATAGCGTCCACTTACTCACTGTCTAATGGTCAATAGCGTCCACTTGCTCAATAACGGTCAACTAGCGTCCACTTACTCACTGTCTAATGGTCAATAGCGTCCACTTACTCACTGTCTAATCCAATAGCGTCCACTTACTCACTCTAATGGTCAATACTGTCTAATGGTCAATAGCGTCCACTTACTCACTGTCTAATTGTCAATAGCGTCCACTTACTCACTGTCTAATTATCAATAGCGTCCACTTACTCACTGTCTAATTATCAATAGCGTCCACTTACTCACTGTCTAATTGTCAATAGCGTCCACTTACTCACTGTCTAATTGTCAATAGCGTCCACTTACTCACTGTCTAATGGTCAATAGCGACCACTTACTCACTGTCTTAATGGTCAATAGCGTCCACTTGCTCACTGTCTAATTATCAATAGCGTCCACTTTCTCACTGTCTAATTGTCAATAGCGTCCACTTACTCACTGTCTAATGGTCAATAGCGTCCACTTACTCACTGTCTAATTGGTCTCCACGTAACTGTCTATGCAATAGCTCCACTTACTCACTGTCTAATGGTCAATAGCGTCCACTTACTCACTTCAGTAATGCTCCACTTACTCACTGTACTGGTCAATGCACTTGCTCTAATAGTCAACGTAGTTGTTCCGTAATGTGTTTCAGTCTACTCATCCACTGTCTAACTGTCTACGTAAGTGTTCGATAAGGTATATTTACTGGTCATCTAGACGTTCACTGTCTAATGGTCAACGTCCAGTGTTCCGTAAAGTGTTCAAGTCCACTCACTGTCATTGTCTAATTGTCTACGTAAGTCTTCGATAACTGTTTACTCACTGTACTCATGCACTCAATAGTAATAGTTGTTCCGTAAAGTGTTTAAGTCTACTCATCCACTGTCTAACTGTCTACGTAAGTGTTCGATAAGGTATATTTACTTACATCTAGACGTTCACTGTCTAATGGTCAACGTAAGTGTTCCGTAAAGTGTTCAAGTCTACTCATTCACTGTCTAATTGTCTACGTAAGTGTTCAGTAACGTCTACTCACTCATGTCTAATTATTCACCGTCTAATAGTCAACGTAAGTGTTCAATGACGTCTGCTTACTCACGTCCTCTCATCTGCTGTCTAATGGTCTATGTAAGTATTCAGTAACCCTTCTAATTTTGTTAGTAAATGGAATAGAAATAGAACTATCGGTCCATTTAAAGTTCCATCTTCACGATGCTATCTAACTCGAAACACTCCATTGCAGCTTTGAAGATCCACTTAAGCCAACAAACCAAAGACGTGCTGGACCATTTCCGAACCTTTGATGTGGAGCTCCGGGGACAAGTGGAGATGAAAGTAAGTGACATGTGGAACTGCCCGGAGTGCCACAGCTATAAGAACAATATATGTGTGTACACCTCCCACAGTGCTTGGCCGGAATAACGGAGCACAAGTGTACATTTGTATATACCCAAGTTAGAACATACTCCGAAGGTTGGTCGAGATTACACATAATCCACTCAGATGATGATTTCCATCAAATATTATGATTTCAGTATGAACTAGTGTTACGAGGGGATTCCCTAATAGAGGATAACGCATAAATAGTCTACGTCGTCACTGAAAAAGCAGCAAATAATATTGAAACTAACAGTTTAGGCTTACAGCAATAAGCCCTTTTAAATATAATTGTGAATCAGATGGTAGGATCTGTCGGGTTCGAAGGTTTTAGATCTATAAGTAGTTAGCCAGCAGTTAGCAATCCAAACGTACAAGGCATGGACTAGCTCATCAGCCGCTCTACAAGTAAAAAGGCTTTAAGAAAGTGTCCCAGCACGAAACATCTCGAACGATCAAGCTGTCCCGTGGTTGTAAACAACTAATGATGGTGACTCAAAGTGGCATGTTCTGTCACACTGTGGTCACGCATAGGTCAGTATTTTACGAACGTTTCACCCATTTACTGCTATTGTGAATCACAGAAACTCCCATCAACCTGCTCCATCGTGGTCGGCAGAGAATGCGTTAAGAGAGTCCTTCTAGCCTCATGTGAATCTTTCACAAGTTTGTTTGTTTTTTAAATCAAACTATTAGCATTGTTTAAGAACAAATAAACACATATTTGTCAGGGAAGAAGCAAGACGTTGTATTTTAGAGTGTTATACATCATGGGTGTACAAAACCGCGCCTACAGTGTATTGAACCCTTGTAAAGTGAATGCATTTGTTTTCGGTTAGACATTTTAAATGGATTTAGGTCACGTGCATTTTGATCATTTTACAAATGAATACTAACTTCAAAAGACAGGAAATACCAGGATGTTCACAACCGATCATCGATAAGTTTTCTATTCCGTCATTATACAGCTGGACTACAGCATTAAATAACAATAACAGACAAATCAGTTTAGATCACATTCCAAGTACTGATTAAACATCGACCTGACTATTGTTTAATTTTAATTTTTAATTTTTCTACGATGATGTTTCTATGTATACATCAGGAGTAAAAATCTTCCTATTAAAACGAACCAATTTATTGTGATCACATTCTCATGATCGTGATGTTGTGATTCCGTCAAACCTTTTCTATCATTCTTTGAGTGAGTGAGTTTAATTTTACGCCGCACTCCAGCAATTTTCCCGCTGTATGTCTGTAAATACTCTGGAGTCTGGACCAGGCAATCGAGTGATCAACAGCATGAGCATTGATCTATGCAATTGGGATGCGATGACATGTGTCAACCAAGTCAGCGAGCTTGACCACCCGTTAGTCGCCTCTTACGACAAACATATTATTCTTTGATAATTTGAAGCATGATAAGTAAGATATTTGTTTTGATGGTAATAAGGTTCTGCCATGCATGACTGTGTTATCTGTTCCAGGGGAAGGGAGCACAGACAACCTACTGGCTGGTTGGGGAGACGCCAACATCCTCATCCTCCTGACCTGCATCCCATCGTTAGAGCCACTGTTACATACCATGTTCTCTATAGCGCTGCTTTCACACTCAAGGAGACTCCGCTGTGGGCAATGGTTTGAAACCTCAAGGATTATGTTTAAGTTGGTACTGGGTATTTCAGAAACAGATGGTATTACACGGAACTACCATATGATAAATGGCGATTGGCTGAACTACCATAGACAGCATTGGGTAGTAGTTAATTATCATGGATGCACTGGGTAGTGCTGAAGTACCTTTACTGACATTGGATAGGGGTGAACTACCGTGGCTGGCACTGGGTAGTGCTAAGCTACCTTTAGTGGCATTGGGTAGTGTGGAACTACCTTTAGTGGCATTGGGTAGTTGTGAACTACCATGAATGGAATCGGGTAGTTCTGAACTGCCTTTAGTGACATTGCGAAGTGTTGAAATACCATGCATGATATTAGTTTGTGCTTACAATACCATGGAATACATTGCACAGAGCTGTGGTGGAACGTGATGTTTTTCTTCTTTGTGAAGCATCCATGTTTGATCTTTCTCTGGATCCACCACGCGGACCGATATGGCTGTGATTGACGAAGTAGTTTATACATAGCCGGTGATACGTGTGGCCACTACGCTGAAATCAGCAGTTCTCGAACGAAGACAGAGTGTATGTTGTGACTTCACCAGGGATGGAAATGTGCGCATGGAACGAATGGAGTATGTCCTACTGAAGTGATCTCAACGATCAGCAGGAAACCTAGTTGGATCGTTGGAAACTGTATTTGGTTATTTTCATACAATTCTGTCGCGTGTTTTCAAGTTGGTTATTCTGGACCACCTTGACTGAATATTACGGGTTTGCCACGGCTTACTGTAATGATCATGGCTTTAGTATGTATTTGGTTCAAACAGCCGAAAGACGTGGTACAGGACACCAAGTGTAAGTTTGTTGAGACGAAACAAACAATAACATACCGAGTCATTTCGTAGGAGAATACACTGGCTCAACATAATATTAAACTCCTCTCAAAGAACAGGAAATGTGTTGATCACATGCGTATGAAGGACTCATGAATGACAACGGGCAGTGTGCTAAAGATCTGAAGAGAATGTATCAAGCTTATGCTGAACAACGGACAGTGTGCTAAAGATCTGAAGAGAATGAATCAAGCTTATGCTGAACAACGGTCTATTATTGACATCCAGTATTTCATAACTGACTAATAGCTGAACGAGGGGAAAACATAACTAACTGATAATGTTACAAGGACGGCGGTCATATGCTGACATCTTGTTAGAACAGTCAAATTTTGACGTGAGTTGTCCAATCGTGGAACCTTTTGGTTACCATAGTGAAGATGCCCCAAATGGATGTATCAGTTGTTGGTACAAACCTGTGAATGTTTGGATACAGATCTGTGTGTGAACATTGACAGATAACAATTGTTGGTTGTATATCTGGACACTGTCAATATTTCTTTATGTGATAACCATGGCACAAAGAATGAGTTTAAATGGTTTCACCAACTCTATACGATGACTTGAGGGTACATGGACCATTCAAGCGGAACCGTACTTATCCTTCCACTTCATAGACAACTTGTTGGAGAATCAACAGTCATGTGGAGAAATATTCACTGTGTTTATCTATCTGACACCAAGCTTGGTCTTGACGTCACCATGTGTTGTTGTGCTGACTGTAAAAATGTGCAAACTTCATTCATATATTCTCTGTGTTTCGTATTACAATGGCTGTGATTCATCTACTTGTTTCAGAATACGTCTGGTTTATCAGATCAAGATTCTTACTACTATATCAATTTTACCCATGTTAGTAGTTTTTGTCAACGTTTAGCGAATTGTAAGGATGTTCAACCACTTTGACTGAGGATGTATGGTTTCCAAATGTACGTGGAGAGTTCTGTTTAGTCAGTGTAGCACATGGACCTGCGTACGTATGGAATCTCCCACGTGGACTTCCCATTAAAGGACCTTCATAAACTCTATGATATGCAATATTCGACATTAACTTGAAAATTATTTGCTGACAAGGGAATGATATTCAATGTTGAGCGAGGGGATGGAGCAATCTGCAATTTTATCAAACAAAACATATTGTCTTAGTTATTGCTTTAAATAAATCTGTCTGCTTCAGATTCCTACACCCCCTTTCTTCGCCACCATAAGGTTCTAAATAGAATTTACCCGATAAGATTTTGTGATGGATATGGTGATGAACATGGTACTATTCTCATACGTGTGATCGGACTGTGTAGAAGCTTTAATTGTTGGATGATCACTCGTTAATGTTCCGGGATCAGATGATAGTAGCTCTCATCACAGATTCCTGATGGGAGTTTACCGTGAAACATCGTGGTTTAATCTGTTGAAAACTGCAGCAAACCAGGCCTGCTCACTCTCACGTACATGTTACGATAACGCAGGGCTCTGGTTAACGACCACAAAGTCTTGCCGATAAAACACGAGTCATGAAAAGTCGAATCTTGATCTTTTTGTATCGTCCCTTCACGTGCTACTACACGTGACAATTCTGTGGTCTGACACGCTTGTCTTTTGTCACGGCGAGATGTTTATATCATCAACTTTTCAATATTTCTCTTGTGATATTGATTATGACACAAAACCTCGTTACATCACTGACTGACTGAGTATGGTTTTATGCCGTTTTTAGCAATATTCCCGCAATATCACGGCGGGGGACACCAGAAATGGGCTTCACAAATTGTACCCATGTGGGGAATCGAACCCGGGCCTCTGCTTAGAGCACAGTGGTAAGTGACACCGCACTGAACAGAGTATATCTGGTATATCTTTCTTTTAAACCAGGAAGGATGGCATTGTATTTCAGAATTGGGCAGATGTTAAACTCGCCTCCTTTTTAACATGAAAGGCAGGAGAAACATACGAAAGAAAGAAAATTAATTATTTTATTCGCCAAAAAAAATAACTGACGCCTTGATTAGATCCTAACCCAGCGATGCCTGTGAAAGGAAGACCCGTGTATTTACATGGTACGTTTTGGACGATAGAGGGATCAGTCTTGCGAAAAGGGTTGTGCTGAAGGTTTTAATGTGTGAAAAATGTTCATGGACGGTGCATTATGGGTAGAGGTGGTCAAGACCCTAGACTGCTGTTTCATTACGCCGATGGCGATGGTGAGTTGAAAAATGACTACATTGCCGAGCAGCAAAGTTTAATTTCTCTTGTTGTGACATGAATGCCCTGTTTCGTCAATTATTGACAATTTTCTCTCACAGCTATTTGCCACAGCCACAAACTTGCCCCAAAGTCTTTAACATGAATCCATTCTACAAGAACGAAAGAAAATATGAAATATGAAAATGTAAAACGTGATCAGTTACTGAGGCTTATGTTGGGGACCTAGCGACAATGTCACTGTCTCCATAATGAATATTCTTAATCTTTCCTGCACTTAAGTATTTTTTACTTGTGTGGAGTTCAAAGACTACGTGATACATTAGAAATACACAGTGTGCAACCTGACATTAAAACCTACATTCTGGGATATTAGTATTTTGTTCTTTTTATGAATCAAAGGGACTGATAAGTTTAACGACTGACCAACCTGTTTGTACATACCTTTCTTGATACCTAACGAGGCCCACACAAGATCTCAGGAGGCCCACATAGGGTCACAATTTCACACGAATACCGACATAAGGTCACAACTTGCCTAGGAAGACCACACATGATCACAACATGTCAAGGGAACTAGCACAAAGTCACAACGTTGGAAGGAGGCCCACACAAGGTCTCAGGAGGCCCACATAAGGTCACAATTTCACACGAAGGTCACAGCTTGCCTAGGGAGCCCACATATGAAGTCAAGGGAACTAGCACAAAGTCACAACGTTGGAAGGAGGCAATTAGGAGGCCCGCATAAGGTCACAACTTCAATTAGAGGACAACACAAGGTCACAGCTTGCCAGGGAGACACACTATCTCAGAGAGCCCAACACAAGGTTTCAGTAGGCCACAACTTCAAAAGGAGGCCGACACATGGTCACAACTTGCCAAGGAAACCCACATAAGATCACAGCATGGAAGGGAAACCCACACAAAGTCGCAAGGAGGTTCATACAAGGTCATTACTTCATTACATTTCTATTTGCAAGAATATCCGTGTGTCGTTGACATGATCTGTCTGTGGGGATGGATAGGGGTTCAATCTGCTATCCGTTCACTCAAAAAAGTCAAGTATTGCTGTTACCTTGCCATGCGATCAAAATAGAAATGTATAGATCTAAAACTGCAGACCACGTATCTCACTGGACAAGACACACGCACGCACGCACGCACACACCGACCGACATCGTGTCTCACTGGGGAAGGCGAGCGCACATAGACGCTGACACACACTCGTCCATTGTGGCAATAACAGATTACTCTCAACTCTATTTCACCTCCACGCGCCACATCCGTATATAGGCAAACAACTGACAATAAGATTATATTTTTACAGTTTGGAAAAAAACATACAAAAGACTTTAATTTTCAATCCTGTCCATTGGAAAAAGTTAATTATACATCCCTATGCATATATGGGTTGCTCTTTTTATAATAAGGCTATATAAATATTATATCTTTTAGATCAAAATAAAATGTTTACAAAATTCTTGAAAGTGAATTAACGGGGAACATATTTTGCACAGAACAGGATTAACTTTGGCCAACGTGTTTCCTTTAAGTACCACAACCTGCGACACTATAAATTGGTGTGCCTGTCGATATTTTACTATTGCATAATCTGATGGAGGGGACATGGCTGTACTTGACATTGAATGTGCTGCAGCAGAGTGTTAGGTGTGGACATACATCACCATGCTTTTGATGTAGACGCATTCCCTGATATGCCAAGACACTAAATCTGACCATCCGATGAGTGGTAATGATTACCATGGTTGATGCAACAATTCATTACAACGGAACTAAATAACCGGCCATTACAAACATCAATCCCCGGGTTCTGACGTTGGTTCTGGGTTGATGACTACGTAGTTAATTCTAGTTAGATTCGAGGGATTCAAGAGGGGAAGTAGACGAGGTTGACAAGAAGTTAGGGATATCGACCATGAAGTTTATTCTATTTATGTAAAAGGGATTCGAGAGGGGAAATCGACTGGGTGACGGTTTCAGAAGGATGGTATTCCTTTGACCATCTTTGGCAGCAGGAATGTTGGGATGGGAAGCTGGTTGTTTCTATTTTCAGTTCTATCATTGTCAGATTCAGGTGACCTTGAAGAACTACATCAATCTCGCGGGACTAAACGTCCACAAAGGACAAATATTGATGTCATTTCAACATTGCTAAGTAGTAAAGAATGGTCTTCACCATCTTATTAAAGAGATGAACTTAATAGACGCGTCCGAAAACGTCACAATCCTCCTGTAGACACTTACAGAATTTGCCAAAACGTTGCAGGAAGAATGGCGAGGAATTCCCCAAGCAACAGTCCAACGCCTTGTGCAATCCCTCCCAAGACTACCTTCACCCACACGGTGGTCATACCCGTTATTGACTTTGTGACTTCGTCGTGTGACCCCCTACTCGATTTTGAACTTCTGACGTCATCGTTACGGATATTGTTCATGTTCTATTGACATTTTCTTCAGCTTATAAAAGTGTCTACATCATTTCGTCTTTGCTGTGTTGTATTCCAATTCTGAAGGCATCTTCTGTGTGCACCGTTTGCTCTATGTGGTTAATATACATGTAAATACGTTTAGTATATGTCCTTACTTTTGGACTGTGCGGGGGATTGTGTTTTGATTTATACAAATCGACATTTTATCGAAAACCACCTCTGAAATACGGTTCTTTTTAAAGGCTGCTTTTGAAGGAGGTGGTGTAATTTCGTGTATGTTTTAAATTTCAAGTTGTTTACCCTTGGAATGAAATATAACACATTGCTGATCATGGGGATTGGTAATCTATACACTTACCGATGGTTATTCAGAATCGACGCCAAAGACATGAAGTATTATGTAGAGTACCATCCCTAAAATCAAATGTCCCAAATGCAACACGACGTTTTAAGACAGTTTAGCCAACAGAAGAAATCCGACTGTAACATTGCCAGCCATTCCCAACGCATGGTGTTTCATTGTGTCCGAAAGGGAAATGTGTGTATGCATGGTACAATTTGATTCGAGCATGGATGGCTCACTGCACAATGTGAGTAGACAATCATAACTCCCTAACGACTGTCGGTCAATGTATTGATTAGATAATCCTAAATAGTTCCATCCTCAGTTTGTCTACATATACCTAAATACGTATGAAAAAAGAGGATCTTGGGTTTGTATTACCTTTATATACAAGTTGAGTTTTAGACGGACATTCAGTTTTTCCCCATCGAGTGTAGACCGCTCCGCCATTACCCTTTAACTGTCAAACAGATCGATATCGATAAACAAACATGTGCATATTTCCATATTTGGTTGTGCTGATAATCAAAAGCAAATTTGTAAAGTACACTTCAATCTTTGAGTCATAATATAGCACTATTGATATTTATATTAAGTACATTGATGCAATTTCACTTTCAACGTTAGTCTCAAACACTTGATAACACTTCTTAGTCTTCACCTGCAATTTACAAATAACACGTACATATCCAAGAGCCTAATGCGATATAATGACAAAACAAAATATAATTTCCTTTTACAACTTTTAGCTGGGGCCACGTCTGTCAGAGGAAAATAACTGCAATGTATTGAAACATACAGGTTTGTTTTATTTTGAAGTTTGAAAACCCTATTTATATTTATGAGGGAGGGTGGGGTCAATTCAATTTAATCCAAAGACACACGAACATAAAGATCACCGGAGAAAACAGTAAAGTCTCTGTCCTACCAGGAACTGACGTTTCCTGTTCTGTGTTCAGCATCTGCCGCAACTCCTCCAGGAATGTCCGAGTGGCAATGCATGGTGTTGAGGTTGGCAAAACCTGCGAAGTAGCCCTTCCTTGTCGTGCACCCCTCACGGCTTGTCCTGAAGTACAAACGTGGATTAAGTGCACACGATTTCATACACACGGAAATATTGAACTGGTGGACTTGAATATCCACAGCGAGACATAAGAACCATGACAACGATCAACAGAAGATATTGACATGAGCAGTCAGCATTTATATGTATTTGGTAGTCAGGACATAACATTACATAATGTACAGATGGACAAAAGTATCGCAACATCCAAGTTTTATGACACGATCAATATTTAATCACAGTTCATATGTCATGTGCGTCTTCACAGGAGATCATTTTGAGCCAAAGTGCTAAAACGACTTTTCATTAAGACAAAAGCCAACAATAAAGAATCTCAATCATGGTACAATGTGATGAAACATCGACCTGTAACGTATGGTCATCCCAAACGGGTAAGACGATGCAGTCCTACTTTATACACCCAATCCACAAATAAGGTATCTTGTTTCAGAAACAGAAGACAGATTTAGTATCTTGTGTAACCTCCGCCCATCTGGATGACGTTTTGAACCCTCGTCATCATTGAGTGCACAAGACGCTGAACCCCTGTTTCATTCTTGGTGCAATGTTTGCTCTAATTCATCAATATTCTGGCCTGGCGGATCGAGCCTTATGCCCCCGAATGTCCCAAACATGCTCGATAGGGTTCAAATCGGGGCTTCTGGCTGACCAGGGAACGGTAGTAATGACTTCACTGTGACAAGCTAAAGTTTCCAGTAAAAACGACACAAAGTCCCATTCTATTAAGGATCCTCAGGTGAATGGAACTTCTTCCAGGGTGTTTCTTTGAACATAGGCCATGTTCTTCCATACACGCGACATTCTGTCAGTAACAAACAGGAAAAACAGGCTCTTGTCTGAAAAATAGATCCTCCTCAATGATGCTGGTCACGGCACCACCGTAATTTTCTGGCTTTATATCTTGCTGTTTTCAGTCGATTTCTGACAGTTTTATGACAAAGTCGCTGGTGTGGAAGTCATTGCCGGTTTAGCATTAATTGGTGCAAAGGGAAATCGCCGATCGCGTGGTCTCCCTGAACGATGTAGACTTTGTACATACTTTGTTCGGTGATACTTCGTCACTAATCAACTGATTGTTGAGGGGTGGTCTCCAAAATGAATGATGTAGACTTTTATAACATACTTTGTTTGAGCTGATGCTTTGAAGGGCGTCACTTAATCGAACTGATTGTTGAGGGGTCGGTGACCAAAATGCCTGTCCACCTGGCAATTTCTTCAACCTAAACATTAACCATACCTATAACGTGTAATAAAGAAACCCAGCAGTGTAAACATTTTCATATTTTCTAATGCCTGGATGGCCATGATCCAATTTGATCCTAGAATTGATGTGTTTTTATCTCGATATTCAATCATGCCAACACCTATGCTAATATTAAAAACACACATTTGATGTATTTGAATCCGTAAACTAAACAAACCCACCTTGCTATTGCTAGAAAAATCTGAAAATTTACTTTGAGAAATAGGTATATACAGACTATTCAGACTCTACACCAATGTGTCGGCCTAAAGTTTTTGTCAGCCTGAAACGATATATCACTTTTCAAATATTACACTGTTACAAGTCACATGACATGGAGCAGGATTCTTTGTCAGCTGAAGGTGAATGGCATGACGTTCCTTTATGTGGATATTGATGGATACATTCCTCCAACAAGGTAATGGCATGTGGTTCCTTTATGTGGATATTGATGGAGACATTCCTCGAACAAGGTAGGATAGCCTGACATTGTTGCTGTAACTTTAGTCTGTTTCAATTTTAATATTTGCATTTTGTTTTTATTCATTTTTTGTAACATTATGCAGAATCATTTTTTTCGCCGTGAAGTGTAATGAGACAGACAACATACACTAGGTCGCACTTGGGGCGCGTGTGTGAAATAATTTATAATCGACGTTGACAATATACAAAATGTCTAGATAAAACAGCCATGTTATAAATTCACAGTAAAGTATAAGCAGATCATGTGCATTTTTTAGGTTTCAAAATGCATACAAAAATGATAATAAACTAATTAGGATTATAAGACAAAATATAAAGACGTACATTGACTTCGTTATTTTTTAGTCCTAACATTTTTCACCACTGGCAGATGGTTAAACTTCAAAATGTTTTCATTTGTTATCAAATTAATGAACATGGAAATATTATCGAGTAAAAAAGATTTCCTCTTTGTTGATCAATCTATACTTATACCACCAATAAAACACAAGTTAAGATTTTAGGTCACATCGGTCTTAAAATCGGCCTTATTTCAGCCATATCGTGACTAAATCAAGTTGTAGTTTTATAATAATTAAAAGTAAATTATAAACACCTGTCGACGTATGATAGTAAAACAGCTAGATTATCACAGATATACACTTAAAACTATTGATTAAATCTAAATCAGTTTAACTATAGAAGACGATACAATAAAAAAAAAACAGGCTGTTGATCGCCAACAACTGAAGGTAGATCACCATACTAGGAACAATGGGGACTTACAGTCTGTTTGCAGTGAAAAATACCGATGAATTTGACTTCAAACAAATGAGTAAATCAAATAAAGTGAAATTAAGATTGCGAAACCATGTAATTTTACCTTGCCAGTTGAACATTGAAAACTCAGAATTTTATTCAACTTAGGATAGTTGAAGTATGAAACAACGTACATATTCGATAATCAAGGAAAGGATAAAACCGAAAGGTGACATCAAGCTATTAGCACTACGATCCTCGCTCGCGGTATCTTTGCAAGAGCAACAGTATCACTGGTCACAAGAGCGTCAGCTCCCTTGCCGACTACAACACAATCAAAGGCGGCCTTTACAGGAATCCCGTTGCAGGTAATATCTTGTATGAATAGAGTAATTAAGTATGAAATCACTGATATTGTACCCCGCCAGCTTAACATATTTAATACGTGTTATGAATGATACAGGACGAAACTTGGATTCGATCCGATATTTATCAGATTCAAGAACGATCAATGATAATAGGCCTCTATTGCTACTGGTGCTACAATGGTGCTACTCAAGACCAAACAACGGACTAACATATGACTGTAAATGATTTGTATTAATCTTAGATGTCTTCGAAACGCATTGTGACCCGGGCGTTCAATGAATTTAAATGGATTCGAATATAAGTACTACACAGATCGTAATTCAAGTAGACAGAGAAAATTATTTTAACAACCCAAATAATTTTCTAGTTTATGCACACACAAACCAACAACAATAAGCACACACACAAAGAAACACACAAACACACACACACAAAATGTATAATAGATATTCGAAATTGTTTGAACTTACCCGAAGATATAGTAGTCTGTGAAGCAAGCAAGATGCAGGCTGCCAATGTTGATATTCGCATCGTCGCCATACTTGGAAAGTCAAATCAGCTACGTATGAATTCATATTTATATGTTTTCATTCCAGGATCTAACATATTCTCGCCGGTGCTGGTACCCCGATTGTGTCACACACACTGCTGTCAGTTGTAATCACACCCTTCTACCCTCACACAACAGCAGCACGCGGATCTGAGATTGCATGTTTGGCTGTCTGGCCAACACGTTCGTGTAAAGTACTCTGATAGTGTCCTCCTGTGGTGTCGTGTTCATCTGTTTGGTGTTTCGTGTTTCGTCGACCGTTACCGCCTGTTAAGGATATAAGATTGTTAGCTAGATATGACGCAGTCATGTTGGTCTCACATTCACACCTGAGGGTACGATGTTTCTGAATCAGGATGCACATGTTGACTATCGTCAAACCAGATCTGGACATCGCGTGTCTTGTTTGTGATAGATATTGATACGGAGCTGATTTTGTTGTAAGTGTGATATCTGGAGAAACACAACACGGGGAGCTATTAGTGCAGTATCACCTGCTGCCTCGATGAAGGCTGGAAACTTTACATCTGAATAACGTTCCCAGAGAGATCCCGTCATTTTTGCTGATTCCATTTGGTTTAGCTCCCTTTTGCGTAGCAAAAATATGAACTGATTTCAAAAGGCAGAGTTGTTTATGATCAACTGTGTTAATATTCATCCTGCACATGTTTTGAGACATATTCATTTAAATAATTACTCACATTTTATGGTACTGTGTACGATGATTCAGACACAATTAGTCAAAAGGATTTTTCTATTACATTAAAAGACACGAGGTTTCACTGGAATTCACCATATTATGTTGCATTATATCCCTATGCCAGGCATTTCAGTATTATATATGGACGGTGAACTGGAAAACTGAACTTTGACAAGTCAGTTCTTGGTATTCGAATAGTATCTTATTGAAATTCTACCGAGGCCTCTGTTTGCTGAATAGCTTAAGGTTTGATATTCTGTGTTTGGAAATATACATTGATACACCTACAGGCCCCAGGTCTCCCCAAGAGAACAAAATAGGTGTCAGTGACATTGACTCCATCAGTTGTCCATTTTGTGTTCGCTCGTCACACCGAAGACCCAGGGTTCAATTCCCGACAAGCTTACAATGTGTGAAGCCCATTTCTTGTGTCCCCGCCGTGATGTTGCTGGAATACTGTTAAAAGTGGCGTAAAACCATATTCACTTGTTCACTCATCTATTAAAATACAGCTTACAGTTCTCTGGATTAGTTCATGTATAATAGATGTAAATATTCAGTATAACAAACGAGACCTCCTCCGTAGTGTAGTGGTTATAGCGTCCGCCCAGAGAGCGATAGGTCGTGCACGTGTTCGATCCCCGGTCGCGTCGTACCAAAAGACGTTAAAATATGGTACTTGTTGGTCCCTGCCTGGCGCTCGGCATTAATGGGTACAAAAAGGACTGGTCGGCTCGGAGTCAGTATAATGTGTCTGAGAGTGGTACTCATGCTTATCTGAGTCATGTTATCTCAGTGAACTAGCACTATAAACCAGCTTGAGTCTGGGCTAGTACAAGCAGCTACACGTACACACGCATGCACGTCGTCTTATGAGCGAAATAATCATAAGTATGACGTTAAACCCCATGTCACCTGACCTCACCTATAACAAGACCATAACAAGGAACGTCTAGTTGAACTATGCTATGTTTCACTACAATATGATTGCAATACAGCTATGTTTACATGTATAGAGAATGATCATGTCTGTGTCTTTTTGTGAATTTTAGGTGGATATGATATATTTATATTGTGTTTTATTGTGTGACAATGTAAAACATTATATTTACACATATATAGAATATCTCTCACTCTCTTCTTTCTCTGTATAATAGAATGGAGTTGAACTATAATCGTTAACCTCTTCTCATATGTAGTTTTCAGTTCGTAGAATGGTTGGGCGCACCTCCCTGCCTTACAAATAAACTAAAAAATGACATGTAACTACTTTATATATTTCACGGACGCTGAATATTTTCTCTACCTGATTCATGTCAACTCCAAGTCATATAGTGGGTACAATATTTAAAGCCCATTTCTGGTGTCCCTTGTCGTGATGTTGCTATAAGGGGTGTAAAACCACTCACTCACTCACTCACTCACTCACTCACTCACTCACTCACTCACTCACTCACTCACTCACTCACTCACTCACTCCACTCACTCACCCCTCACTCACTCACTCCCTTCACTCACTCACTCACTCACTCACTCACTCACTCACTCACTCTTATATGTAAGAGGGAGGTAGTGTAGTGCAATGGGCAAAGCGTCTGCTCGTAACGCTAAAAGCCCGGGTTCGATTCCCAAAATGGGTACATTGTGTGAAGCCCATTGCTGATATTGCAGGAATATTGCTAAAAGCGGTTTTAAATACCATACACGCTCATTTACTCATTCTATCTAGGAACTATATAGTCGCTTCATGTCACAACTTAACGTTTGGCACTAATGTGCATATTTGCATCTTCATATATAACATTTTGCCCACAAGATATCTTTAAAATGTTTCAACGTGAATTGATATAGCTATGATCCTGAAAAGTGGGATAGTTGAGATGTATATGCTGGGTGACGTTTGTGAAATAAAGTGAAAATTCAGTTTTGCATACTATTATATCAAGAAAAGGGCAAGGCCAACAAGCCTGGTCATCTTTCATTCTACCCAGTAATCAAGTTTGCGACGTCGTTCGTGCAGCTGTCCGTGTACTTGGCCAAGACTCAGCTACGTACATCTTATATGACGTGACGTCAATTGAACTAACGTGGCACACCATTCACTCACAGTAAACATTGCGGTCATATCCAACACCAGATCAAGTAACCTAACATAAAAGTTTGTTTATCAATAGTGCCATATTATGACTAAAAAGATTGAAGTGTACTTTACAAATTAGCTTTTGATTATCAGCACAACCAAATATTGAAATATGCACATGTTTGTTTATCGATATCGATCTGTTTTACAGTTAAGGGTAATGGCGGAGCGGTCTACACTCGATGGAGAAAAACTGAATGTCCGTCTAAAACTCAACTTGTATATAAAGGTAATACAAACCCAAGATCCTCTTTTTCATACCTATTTAGTATATATATACAAACACTGACAGTCGTTAGGGAGTTATGCATACAAAGATTGTCTACTCACATTGTGCAGTGGGCCATCCATGCTCGAATCACATTGTACCATGCATACACACATTTCCCTTTCGGACATAAAGAAACACCATGCGTTGGGAATGACTGGTGATGTTACAGTCGGATTTCTTCTGTTGGCTAAACTGTCTGACAACGTCGTCTTGCATTTGGGACATTTGATTTTAGGGATGGTACTCTACATAATACTTCAAGTCTTTGGCGTCGATTCTGAATAACCATCGGCAATTGTATAGATTACCAATCCCCATGATCAGCAATGTGTTATATTTCATTCTAAGGGTAAACAACTTGAAATTTAGAAAATACACGAAATGACACCACCTCCTTCAAAAGTAGCCTTATAAAAAGAACCGTATTTCAGAGGTGGTTTTCGATCATGTCGATTTGTATAAAATATGGGCCTATGATATCACAGATCACCCTGAGAATATAGACCTGTGAAGTGTATTATGTGCGTGATGAATACTGAGTTTGCGTCACCTTCAAAGTGAGAGCTGAAGAGGGGGAACATGTATGTCCTTGTCATATCCATGGTTTAAGCAATATCCTATATCTGAGCAGCCTGAGCATTACTTAGTAATGCTTATTTTGACTAACCCGACTGCATTATTATCACAGGAATAGCTGGAGGAACTCATTTTAGTCATAAGGCCGGACCTGCTAATATCCTGTGCCTGCCAGACAACCCTGAATATGGAAAACACACTCCAGGGTTTCAAGCTGAAGGTGTTATCTACGGTACAGAATATCAAACCAAACATCAATCCATCAGTTTCAAACGCCTTCATGACCATGACGTTCCCTGTGCTGTGTGCAGAAGAACAACCAAAACAAGCGTCATCATGGTGCCTGCCAAGATGTCCTGCTTTCCTGGGTGGCATGTAGAGTACACGGGGTATCTGATGAGTGGCCGTTTTAATCATGCTGGTAGTGAGTATCTGTGTGTTGATGGTGATGCAGAGAAGGATCGCAGTGGCCATGAAAACAAGAACGGGCAACTCTTGTATCTTGTTGAAGGTGTCTGTGGTTCCCTGCCATGTCCTCCATACAAGAATAACTGGGAGCTGAGATGCACTGTTTGCTCGAAATAGGTCACAGCCAATGCGCCACTGTCATATACGTGAATAAAACCATTTTGCGTGCATGAAAACAAATGTGGAATGTTTTAATTATTACTACTACTGAGATCCTGTTCATTAAATACTGCCCCACGTGGGTACAATGTGTGAATTCCATTTCTTGTGTCCCCGCCGTGATATTGCTGGAATATTGCTAAAAGCGGCGTAAAACCAACTCACTCACTCACTCACTCATTAAATACTGTCTTCTGGATAAGGCTGGATAAAAGTGGTTTGTATTAAGTAGAATGTGGATGATTTATTAAATTGAGAATGACATTCTACAGAAAACGCAGCTATAGATATAACTACGCTCTTTTACATGTGATACGTGTATAAGATATGCACTCACATGCGCACATGTAAAACAATACATATCAAGCAGCCTAAGTAAATCAATATCATTATACAGAAAGCGTTGTTCAATAGTCAAAGGAGTGTATCACTCGCACACAAATTATACATATCTGGACGCCACTTCGGTTTACCGATTTGCTTCTGTTCCACTACAAACGTTCAAGGACAAGATAAGTTATTTCATTTACTTCTTGAGTACTTGGGTGTATAAGGCGAAAACAAAAATTTTCTTCAACACCACTCCTCGCCAATTATTTGCAGCATCACGAATGATTATTTTGAGTGAGTGAGTTTGGTTTAACATTATTTAAGTGATATCACTGTAACGGCATTTAGTGATACCTCAACGTCTCGGATTGATGTGGCGAAAAGATCCTAAATTACCTGAAGCACTATGAAGTTTGACAAAATTAACAGAGCGACTTCTGTTCCCTTTTTGATATACCATAAGTATCCATTACAACATAACTTGATTCAAGTAACCTACTGCCCATATAAGGCTGATGTGTTCATATTAATGGTGTACCGGTTGACAAGTATATACTTGTTCTGCAGGAATAATAGTATGAAGCTTGCATTTCAAGTAATTGTGGTAATGATTATTTTGTTTAGTGCGTTTGTACCTTCAAGGCAAACTTTCTAAACGACTTAAGCTGAAAAAATATACTCCCCTCAAAAGAAACGCATATAGGAATTTCAACTGTATTTTTATGTTTATTTTGAAACATCTTGTAGGCTTTATGAGTGAATGAAAGATAGCGAAATTGCACAGTGGGAATGCAGACTTATCCGTCTTTGGCACCAACTCGAGGAAAGTCAGTTTGAGTGTCACATGGAGACGTGTGGTGGGGCTGATGTCAATACCTCTTGTGACCACCGTGGGCATCCAGAACTGCACGGCATCGCCTCGGCATCGAACGAATAAGTCTCAGAATCTCGTGTTGCCCAATCGCAGCCCACTCTGTCTGTAGTGCCTGTGCGAGTTGCTGAAGTGTCTGGGGCTGAGGGTTAAAGCGTCGCACCTGTCTGTCCAGGGCATCCCACAGATGTTCGATCGGGTTTAAGTCCGGTGATCTTGAGGGCCAGGGGAGCACATTGATGTTGTGGTTCTGGAGGAAGTCTCTAGTGTGACGTGCTGTGTGGGGCTGGCATTGTCCTGTTGAAACAACTCCCTCCGGCGATCAATGATTGGAAGGATGTGTGGGCGTAGGATTTCGTCACAGTACCGTTGAGCTGTCAGGTTGCCCTGGATCATCACCAAATCACTTCTCCTACGGCAGGTGATCGCTCCCCACATCATAACACAAGTGTCGGTGAAACGTTCGCGTCGACTTCTGTACACCCGCATTCTTCCATCGCGTCGTTCCAATAGAAATCGTGATTCATCACTGAACTAGATTCTACGCCAATTCGGTAGGTTCCAGGCCTGAACGTTGGTGCACCATTGAACTCGATGTCGACGATGTTGTTGTCGAAGCACAGGGCCAAAATAAGGTCTTCTGGCACGTTAACCACGTGGTACTGGGCGCCGTAGCTGTTCGATGACGCAGGTGATGTACCCGGATGTAGCGATCCTGCGCCGCAGTGGTCGCTCGAAGTCGCCCACTACGAGGGGCATCTGCTACCGCATTCTGCCGGCGATATCTCTCCAGAGCCGTGAAATGGTGCTTTGGTGAACATTCATGCGTCGGGCAACTGCACGTTGAGACTGGCCAGCTTCAAGCAAACCAATGGCGATATGACGGTTGGCTTCACTTAGACGTGGCATTTTGCGTTCGTCAACAATATTCCAAATACAGTGAATAATCGTCAGACAGCGATCAACCTTTTATACCCATCACTAAGACTATCTGATCCCCAACTTTCACGTGCATTGCATGTGAATTGTGTGATTCTGTGACACTACACGCCGAAATTGAAAATCATGCTGTTAAATACGGGTATTTTACGGATGGTGCGTTTTGTTGTGATGTTTCAAAACATAAACACCATAGGACTCATAAACAGAGCAAAACCTTTTGTAAAATGAATCACGGTTTAATTCATTGCTACATGAAATTGCTATTTTCATGATGCGTTTCTTTTGGAGATTATATATCTTTCAAATTATAGACTTAGTGAGAAAGCGGTTTTAAATTCTCTCAGAGTGACATGTCTAGCACACAAGCGGGAAAATAAATGTAAATACAAGTTCCCATACAATGTCTACGTAACATAATTTTGATCTTATATGTTGTCTTTTCGTCACTTGGCAAAACAAACATAAAATACGAAATAATCACAATAAACCATAAATACGTGCCATACACATTCTTCAGCTTCCAATACATATGGTCATACACATTTTAAAATTCCATAACCTTAGGACTTGTCATACCATTTTGAACTATTCAGATATATTGAAAATCTGTGTTTGGCAATAATGGGCGTGCATGATGGACCCGTTTTAGTTGTCCACGATCTCGAAAATATAATGGCATCTCGTAACATGCTATTTTGGAAGTTATAACTTTCATTTTAATAAGACATGCAAATGTCCACGATAACGGACAGATAACTCCCTCCTTCCAACGCGACCAAAACTACACTAATGGCCGTTGGTTTGGCAAATAGCCAACATTGCACTCTTTTCCAATGACTCCATTCCGTCGATCTTTTTCTGGGTTGACCATCTCTCTTGCATACTGGTGTCTGAATAAGCACTCGGCCAAAGTCCGATTGAATCTCTCGACTATGGCTTGGCTGCGATGAGCCCAGGCTGCGCCAACCCTGACTTGGACGTCGTGCTGGGATAGCAGTTGTGACATGGCACCCATGAACTCCCGCCCGGGGGTCGACTTACAGCTCTGTGGGCCATGTCAGCGGACTGCGTTTGTATATGCGCTCGAATCCGCGGGCTACTTTGTCCCCATCTTTCGCAGTTAAAGGCTCGGCTTCCTTTGTAGCGGCTGGCAAACGTCAATGACGGTTAGGGCATACTTGTACCTCCTCCTGTCGTAGGGCAGGAACAGGAGGAGTCGGCCTGGTGGACGCTATTGGGTACGGCAATGCCGAACTTTCTTCGAGGCACGTAGCGTGGTGCTGGTAAATAGATCTGCCACAGGGCTTGTTTTTGAAGCCATGCTTTTGCCTCGTCTGGGGTACTACTCTCGCCATTTTGGCAAGCTTGTGTATGGGGCTAGCTCCTTTCCAGTACCCACGCGGGCTGTAGTAAAATAGCCTCAAACTTTCTTTGGTTCCATGACATTGTATATATACACCTATGTTCTTGGTTCAATTTTCTCATGCCTGTACGCGTACGTGTTGATCCGTCGATGGCTATCCAATGCTTCGTGTCCATCGGTGATAGGGACGTCTTGTTTATCGTCAGTCCGTATATCTTGTGTCAATGAATGAGCGTCCATACTTATGATTGAAGAACGAATATAAACTGCATGTTTTATTCATTATTTCGATTTTGTTTTGAGTTTAATTTCCGTAATATATTTGCAAAACTATCAGGTTCACGTGAAAAGGCACATGGCGAAGGGGTCCGGGTAGTTTATTCAGGATCTTGGTAGTTAATGTTATGCAGTCGATCCGTGTACTCGGTAACCAGTCGCAGCTGCAAGCTATGTGAACATGACACAGATATGAACTATATGGATTTAACCTTGTCCTCACCTGCCTCATTACTACCTGTGTAACGAAAGGGATCAGGTTAGTTCTCATTCGAGAGATACCAGAATGTGATCGCAGAATATGAATCGTTGAACAAACACTAACAATAGTTGTACACTGTGATTTCCTGCTCTGAGACGCAACACATTCATTATTTGTGTTTGAACTGATCTGAGTTTCTATCAAAACTGGACTAGGTGTCCATGTGAATTAAACCGTATATACATTATTCAACATGGGACCACATGAACAACAGCGAATTGAGCATTATTTATGAAGGGCTGTCCATACCGATTTGTCTAGAAGTGTTAGGCCATGGTTACGAAATAGTACATAAAGGCTGGCTAGTCATGCTGTTATTCGTTGCATGCAGTCGAGGGTATGGCGAACATCATCGAACTGATCAGCCTTTGCTTGCTGTTGGCGTTTGTCAAGGTTCGTATTTCTCACTACAGGTATATATTTTACAGTGAAATAATTTCATATTTCGAAATGCATACCATCAAGAGTACCTATACCATGTCTGTTGTTTAGGACAAACAACGGCAGATGGATCACAAGGAAAGACGATTCACGATACGACTTCGCAGATTTTGCCAACCTCAACACCATGCATTGCCATTCTTGGAGGAGTTGCGGCAGATGCTGAACACTGAAAAGGAAACGTCGGTTCCTGGTAGGACAGGGGCTTTACTGTTTTCTCCGTTGACCTTTCCTATGAGTACAAATACTGTTTTCAAATGCCAAATGAAATGAATTGTGTATGTTTCGATACATTGCAATATATTTCCTTCCTGACATACATGCTCTGGACCACTGATGATTTGGTGATTGAGGCCGGTTTTATGTGCTCTACAATCCTGCGTCTGTGCTCCTGTTTATGATACTTTAACTTGTTTTGCCAGCGGAAAGCATCACATGATTCCGTACTGTGATGGTAGCGCATCGGACGTTGAAACCATGCGGATAGAGATTGATTCCACTTAAAGGAGGAAACTTTTTCATTTTGTTTTAATGTT